ATTAGAATAAATTGAAAAACAAATAAAAACACAGATCAATGTTATTTATTTGTTTATATAAGTGTATGCATATGGAAACCTTGAAAAGTATACAGTATAAGTATACATATATGACATCCAAATTTGATCGTCAAAAATTTAAATGCAATGACGATCGTTATCTACTGTCTTGTTAATTCTTGTTCTCTTCTGGTTCCCGATCCTTAATAATGATTTTCTTTTTCTTATATTTTTTCCCATTGTGGCTTGGTGGCTTTATTGCCTTGCTTGGAGTGACCTGACTAATACACACACACACACACACACACACACACACACACACACACACACACACACACACATATATATATATATATATATATATGAAGAAAAATATATGGAAAAACAAAAATACGAATATGCAAATATGCTGTTTTAATGTTGCATATTTGCATATTCGGATCTTTGTTTTTCCATATTTTTCTTCATACTATTGGATCTATATCCATATATTTGCTTACATATATATATATATATATATATATATATATATATAGTATTGAAATAGAAATCAACGTTCATTGGCGATTGTCATTTTACTCAAGTTATAATCAGACGATGTATACGTACATATGTATATAACTATACCTATCTATCTATCTATCTATCTAAAAATATATATATATATATATATATATCTTTGTCTGTCTGGCTGTCTCTCTCTTTAATATATATATATATATATATATATATATATATATATTATATCTTTTATCTGTCTGTCTGTCTGTCTGTCTGTCTGTCTCTCTCTCTCTCTAACACACACACACACACACACACATATATATATATATATATATATATATATATATATATATATATATATATATATATATAAATGGTGGTACTCGTTTGGAAAAACCCTGGATAGTTCAATTTGCAGTAGAACAAATCGGTATCCGAGGAAAAATGAGGATAAAAAAGAAAGAATCAAGAACCACGGCGTAAACAATTGTCCAAAGTTCCAAGTCCAAAGAATAAACCCCAAAATGAGTAAACTAACAACTACGTAAAGTGCTGAATACACTAAGTAGGGCAAAGCCTAAGATAATCTCAAGGAGCCAGGCAAACCTACCTAGGTTTCACCTAAACGGATCTTCAGGGAAATGTCGGCACATAACTTTTTGATAAAGTTCTAGAGGCATTAGTCTCCTTTGAATTGGTCAAGCATGTCATATCACAGGGTCTACTTTCAGATAAACAATCTGACTTTCACTTCTCGAGGTCAACTGTTGATATACTAACGATTATTGTTGAAAAAGTCTATCAAGATTTGATAAGAATGGTCAAGTCCCGGCTAATGATTTGGACATCTTGAAGGCATTTGAAAGTGTTTAGACATATCCTTGGCCATAAGTTGTTCCTAATTTTAATGCATGACCTTCCTGATGGAATCAATTTCCAACCCCGTATCTGTGCTGATGCTGCAACTATGTATTCCTGTCTTAACATTAAGTTCAAATCAGTTCGATAATGCCAAATTGGCTGCTTATCTCAAAAATTATCTACAACGTGTTGTTAACTGGGGCTATGTCTTATTAATTTAACGCCACCAAAATGAAAAAGCTCTCTACTAATCATCTGAAAGACCCCTTTCTGTCATCTGTCAGTATGGCTGATGCTAACCTCCATTGAGGTTGTTGCACCTTGTTAGGCTAACATTTTCCGTTGAGATGAAGCTGCTAGGAAAGTTGGTTCTTTGTGTCGTGATAGAATTTCTATTCTACAGAATATATCTTACATATTTTTAAGTCTACCATTCGTCTATGCTTTGAATACTGCTGCCATATATGGCCCGGTGCTCTTGCTATATATTTAGAGATTCTTGATAAAATACATAGAAGAATCTGCAATGTTATTGGTCCTGAGCTGGCATCTCTGCTTTAGTCACATTCTCACCGCCGTAATGTGGCTTCTCCGTGCCTTTTCTATGAATATTTTCATGCTAATTGTTATGATGAACTTTCCACTATGGTACCCAGATTTCACGAATTTAAACGCAATACTAGATTGGCGGCAAGGTCTCTCCGTTTTAAAATTGAATCGATTAGATATCTAACAGTTTTTTCTCTCGCACTTCTCTTCCGGCTTTTTGCTTCTCAATCAACTTTGATCTTCAAAAATATAAATGCAATGTCAATCGTTATTGCTTGCCTTCTTAATTCTTCTGATTTTATTGTTCTCTCTCCTTAATAGCATTTTTATCATATACTCTAACATCCAGTAATGGCTTTATTACCTTGCTTCGAATGAAATGATTAATATATATATATATATATATATATATATATATGGATATATATTTGGATTTTTCAAAAATAGTTACAAAATAATGGAAGCATTATTAATAAAAAAAAGGAAAAGCACAAAACTAATAACATCAACTATGAACACGGCCACTATATGCTGACCGTGTTTGGTAAATAACATATTCGTATAACTCGAGATACATGCATAAATAATCCATACATTCAGTTAAAAGCAAAAATATAATCATCCTTGAATGTCTAAAATTATAGTCGAAAGCGTTCGGACATACTGAACATTCGGACAATTTCTACATAATTTATGTCCAGAAAAAAAATGTAAGAACATAAGAAAAATTAAATAAAAAAACTTAACCGCAGTCCATTCTCAATCATTTTTAATTAAACGTATATAAAAGAGGAACTGCTGCTCGAACACACACGCACACACACACACCTTCCTGTCTGCCATCAAAATGGCGAGTGGCCAACTCCTGGAGAGCGCCTCGTTACGCCTGCTTGGTCTCACGCTGTCGGCTGACATGAGATGGAACAAATACATTGAACCAATAGTTTATTCTACAACAAGGAAAACTTGGTGTCGTACCAGAAGGTTTTTCTCATTTCAGTCCATCCTTCAAATCTATAAATCAACCATCCGTCATTACATGGAATACTGCGGCCATATATGGTCTGGTGCCCCCGCTGTACGTCTCGAGGTCCCCGACAAAATCCAGAGATGAATGTGCAATACCATAGGTCCAGATCTAGCACCTCGTCTACAGTCGCTTTCTCACAGACGCTCCTTGGCTCCCCCTTATCTCTTCTACAAATATATTCGCGGCAACTGTTTCGACGAGCTATTTCGCTGGTTACTAGATTCCATGAATTTAAGCGAGCTGCTAGGCTGGCATCTCGGTGCCACCCTTTCACTGTAAAAACGGTTGGACGTAACTGCCTCTTCTACTCAAACAGCTTCTTCTCACACACTTCCCGTCTGTGGAACTCCCCTCATCTTGTTATAATAACTATAATCTTCAAATATTCAAGTGCAATGTCAATCGACATCTGATACCTTGATCTTGTTCCCCGTCATTTTCTGTATCGTTTCCTCAAACATGCCTCTTTACTCTTGTTCTCAATCCTCTGTAAACCCTTGCGTGCTAGTGGCACTCCCGCCTTGCTTGGGTGAATTGTTTAATATATATATATATATATATATATATATATATATATATATATATATATATATATATATATATAACTTCAGTTAGATACCACCGACAAGTTCTGTCTATTCAGTAATTTATTATGTCTTGAATTTCCGAATGTGGTTCTGTACATCAGGATTAAAGTTGTTAATTAATTGTACAAATAAGTATATACCAATAATATGTAAAATTTCAGATATAACTAAAAAAAAGGACAATATGAGTGACGTCTTCCATCATCTTCATCCATTTATCAACATCCCGAATAATTTACATTTGCCACTTAGCCGGTTGTATATTTAGCAGCGTTCCTAAATTGTTTTAAATTTTAAAACTAACGAAATTTTGACTTCTGTTTCTAAATACTCATGGCAAAATAAGATGCTTACATTTGACTTGATAAAGTCTATCAGAGAACGAAACGCGCCAGCTTAGATAAGATTTGCTTTTGTCATTATTCATATATATATATATATATATATATATATATATATATATAATACGAATATAGACAGAGAGAGAGAGGAGGAATTTATAAGACGTTCAGTTTAAGTAAATATAGCCTGAAGGAATGAAATTATTTGTTAATAACTTTTACAGTTAATATGATAGATACAGTTTAGAAATAATACTCGTCGTCGTACGATCGCTGAAGTTAAGCAACGTTGAGCCTAGTCATTACCAAGATGAGTGACCGCATGCGAATACCAAATGCTGTTAGTTTGGATGTTCAGCTGGTGTAATGGGAATTGGAAATCGGTGGGCCTCGTTCTAATTCGAGTCGGTTTCACTATATTCACTTACATAAATACCCTTGCAAAAGGTATGGATCTACCTCATCTCCTTCGGCTATGGGTTAATTAGTAAAACTTGTATCGTTAAATCATTGTTATCTACCCTGAAAATTCTTATAATCTAAATTATTTTCTGACTTTAAATAACCTGCAGATTGTTAATAAGCCTTTAAAACAAATCAGCCAATCGGCATTCTCATGTTTTTATACGATACTGAAGATTGCTTTTCGCTATACGCACAACACAAATATATATATATATATATATATATATATATATATATATATATATATATATATATATTATACTTCAAAAGTTTGAGTTCAGCCATTGTAATTTTCCTTGTAATTTTTTAAATTGGTCCAAAAATATAGCTGCTTTTTACTTTAAATAGGAAAAAAAAATATTATAGATGGTTTTTGAAAAAGTGAGACACGATTTTTTATTAAAAATTTAATATGAAAAAAAAATTTGGCATTCCTTGCAAAGTTTTTCAAAGTATAAGTTTGATAATTTATTCCATACTTTTTCAATGACTTTTTCATTTTATTTACTCTCTTTCTCTCTCTCTCTCTATCTATCTATATATATATGTATATACATAGATATGCGTGTGTATGCGTGTATGTCTGAGTGTGAGAGTGTGTGTGCGCGTGTGTGTGTGTGTATAAGGCAAAATAATGACAATGACAAAGTAGAATTTATTTAATTACATATATATATATATATATATATATATATATATATAGAGAGAGAGAGAGAGAGAGAGAGAGAGAGGGGCGAAGATAGATAGATAGATAGATAGATAGATAGATAGATAGATAGATAGATAGATAGATAGATAGATATTACGGGCATCCTGTCCGAGGATTTGAGCCTACTGGCCTTGTTCATACTGCTAATAACGCCAGATAAAGCGCTCTCTCCAAGTTTTGCCCAACAATGTTACAGTATGAACACAGGTGAGATATGTGGGTGTTGAACAAACACAAATGTGTCTGAACAGACGTCTGCAGCAGGGATTAGCTAACCGCCCTAGTAGACAGGCAGATATACTCGGAAACGAGTGGCCAGCCATTACAGACATATTAATCCTTTTTCATTTTACATTAATTTACATATTAATTTGCATATTTTAATTGTTCAAAACATGCATATATATATATATATATATATATATATATATATATATATATATATATAACATATCTATGTATATATATTATATATATATATATATATATATATCTGTGTGTATATCTATATATATATCTTGTGTGTGTGTGTATATATATATATATATATATATATATATATATATATATATATATATATATATATATACTTTTTTTACTCACAGTATATGGTCAAGTGATACCTATCAAGGTTATTATTATACTATCTTCTATCTACACGCTAACAATGAATTAAAATTAGTAAGTGTTGAAGCTTAAATAAGCATGGAATAATACAACACAAAATGTACGTTAACAAAATGTATTGAAACAAAGAATAGGTACACAATATTTACAGTTAGTTTGGTATATTCTTGGGAAGACTGTTCCTGCATAATGGGTTGACTAAATCGCAGTCGGGCAGAGTCTCTGGATTCAATTTCTTAATCTCTACTATCTTCCCCGTCTTCCGGTACCAACCCATATTTATATGGTCGGTAGTCCGCTTATGTAAATTAGGTGTATCATACACAACAGTAAGGCTATAATATTTAAACCTCAACTTTCGTAGATATGTTTACATTTGCATGTCTCCTTAAATACACGCAGAAACGGTGCTATTTTCGAGTATAGACATCGATAGTCCAACATATGTCTATAAATATCTCCGGTTTAATCCAAGCACGTAGCAACATCTGGATGTCTATTGCAGTGCACATGTCTATAAACAAAACTTTATAAAATTCTTCATTCGGATGCAGTGGTTTTGTTGCTGCTCTCACAATACTTTGATAGTGAATTAGGGTGTCACTAATTGCAGGTCATTTTGTTCGGGATAATCAATAATTTCGTTCTTCGAACAACCGATTATTATTTCCTTAAATGTATGTATAGTATAACGCTGTGAGCTTTAATAAACAATTGTTCAAAATACTTAGTTGGAAGACCAGAAACCTCTAATGATCCATACCTTATATATATATATATATATATATATATATATATATATATATATATATATATAAATATAAACCCAGGATCACAATCCCACATCAACGCAACTATACATACATACATACATATATATATATATATATATATATATATATATATATATATATATATATATATATATATATATATATATAAACCTAGGATCACAATCTCACATCAACGCAACTATATACATACATACATATATATATATATATATATATATATATATATATATATATATGCGTGTTTTGTGTGTGTGTGCGAGAGAGAGAGAGAGGGCGAGAGAAAGATAGAAAAAGTGAGAAGAACGTCGTGATAATATACGCAAAGGGCCGTATCAGTATCTTTTAATTATGTACTCAATTTAGTCGGCAGTTTCATAATGAAAAATAATCAAAAGTATTTGTCTTACAAAATAATCTCCTATTAATTAATTATATACTGTGAATATATCAACTCAAATTTCATTTCTCATAAACTGCAGCTTTATATATATATATATATATATATATATATATATATATATATATATATATATATATATGCGTGTAAACAGAATAAACATTTATAAATATGTATATCACTCTCTCACTAGTGAGAATAAGATAGAGAAATTATCAGAACGTAATAGATAGATAGATAGATAGATAGATAGATAGATAGATAGATAGATAAACAAGCTTTGATAGATAGATAGATAGATAGATAGATAGATAGATAGATAGATAGATTTAATCTTGTATTTTTTTACGGATGCTCATTAGAAGAAACGATAAAACCACCCAGCAAACAACCAGAACGTGATACATAAATAGATAAACAAATAGTGAACAGAATGTGATAGATAGATAGATAGATAGATAGATAGATAGATAGATAGATAGATATCCTTTAAGCCAGAAAGCTCAATTCAACTCGCCTTTGGTATCCGTTATACCAATTTATTGCTTATAATAAAAATCTGGTCTACTCTGGATAAAAACTACAATCTGTGGGAAAAAAAAATTATACATGTGTATGGACGTTTATTAAAGTTAA